TGCCCTCCTTCACCAGACCAGGAGGGTTAGACCCTAGCAGCTGTTTGGACTGTGTAACCCTATCCACCTGGCCAGCCCCAATTGGACCGGGGGTGAGCCTCTGACTGGAGTTGGGCCAATCAGATCATCTGTCTTGGAACTCAGGTTTGGGAATGAGCATCCTTCATGCGTCTGGTCTGTTAGCTGAGGTGGGAGAGGAAGGGACCTGGGGGTGGCCGGATAAGGGGCCGTGTGGGCAGTTCAGGTGCCGGTGAGGTATTGCACTTCCTGCCCTTCGGTTCTACCCATGAGACACCTGCGTGCTTTCTAATAAATTCTTTTTGCCGAGCCATTATTAAATTGGTATCTGTAACATATGACCCAACAAATACTCCCTGACCTAGATCCCACCCTCCCAGGATTACTGTGAGGGTTGAAGCAGTGACCAGCCGCAAGCAGCCCTCACACCATTGCTACTATTATTAATGGACTCCACGTCCCCTTCTGATCTGCAATAGTGATATCGTGAAGACATCATCTCTGTCCTCAGGGAACTGACCATGTGGTTGGGGAGTTCAGGCAGGTACGTGTGAAGTGATTGTCAACAATCCAATCTGAGATGAGCCCTGGAGCCACCAGTCTCCTTTGGCTGTTTTTATTTATTTATTTATTTGTTTGTTTGTTTATTTTTGGCTGTGTTGGGTCTTTGTTGCTGCAAGCGGGCTTTGTCTGGTTGCGGCGAGTGGGGGCTACTCTTTGTTGCGGTGCGTGGGCTTCTCACTGTGGTGGCTTCTCTTGTTGTGGAGCACAGGCTCTAGGCGTGCAGGCTTCAGTAGTTGTGGCACGTGGGCTCAGTAGTTGTAGCGAACGGGCTTAGTTGCTCCGCGGCATGTGGGATCTTCCTGGGCCAGGGATCAAACCAGTGTCCCCTGCATTGGCAGGGGGATTCTTAACCACTGTGCCACCAGGGAAGCCCCAAAAGCCCCTTCTTAAAAAGACTCTCCTAGCAGGCTCCTGGCCACCTTGCTGTCCCTTCCACCGTGGATTCTGCAGAGCTGTGTAGTGGTCATCTGGTTCATCCTTCGCTGGACTGTTGGGAGAGGGCCCAGAAGCACCCTTGCAGGTACTGATTGAGTTCCTTCCCTGTGTTGCTGCCACGTACATAAGCCAGACATGGTCCTAGTACTAATAATGTTTTTCATTTTCTGTATCTTATGATGTGTTTTTTTTTATATTGAAATTTTATTTTTATATTTACTTATTTATTTTTAATTGAAGTATAGGTGATTTACAATGTTGTGTTAGTTTCAGATGTGCAGCAAAGTGATTCAGTTATGCACACACACACACACACACACACACACACACACGTATATTGAGTATAGTTCCCTGGGCTATGCAGTAGGTCCTTTTGGTTATTTATTTTATATATAGTAGTGTATATATGTTAATCCAAAACTCCTAATTTATGCCTCCCTCTCCCCGTCCTCTTTGGTAACCATAAGTTTGTTTTCCATGTCTGTCTCATGAAGTTTTGACATCTTAAAAGTCTTGCTGACTTGGGAGAGTCTAGCCAATTCTTAGAGATAGGTGAGGGAGCACACCTTTCATATGCAAGCCAACCCATCCCCAGTCACCTTATGAGAGGACATGCCTGCCTTCATATGGTTCTCTAATTTCTTGTATCTGTTATATAACTCTCACACACCACACCAATATTTCCTCTGCCCTAGGTTATCCCAGGGCCAGGCAACTAGAGTGCACCCCTTTTTCCAGAGCCCATTGGAATTATTCACACTAGTCAATCCTAAACTGTTTACCCTGCCCTGCTTTGCCTTTCCTGAAAAAAAACCCAATAAAGACTCTGTCCTAAGCTTTCCTCTCACTCCTGCTTCTGCCTCCTGACCACCCTGGTGCTCCCCATGTGGCCCTGCATGGTGTGGTGTGCCCCCTTCTCTCAGGAAATGTAAGTAATAAATTCTCCTCTCAACGGCATTGGCCTCTCCTTGTTGTCACTCAGTCACCTCCATAAATTAAAATCCCATGGGTACAAATGAGACAGTCTGTGCTTGTAGGAGCTCACAGTGTCCTGAAGGGGACAGACATTAAACAGATACAAGAAATTAAAGAACTATATGGAGGTGTGTGCTATCAAGGAGACATATAGGATTCTGCAAGGCTCTTAACCCTCCAAGATGCCAAGATGAATGTCCACGGATTTTGCGTCATCAGCATCTCTTCCCCAGATATTGCTTTGAGCATCACCCGTCCCCACTCCCAGTTGCTGGTTCTGTGGCATCCACTCCCCATGTTTCTTGCATTTGGTGCAATTCTCAGGCCTGGCCGATTTATGCACCCTACTCCCCCACCCCCCACCTGCAGTCATTGGCTCAGCGACAGGCATGTGACTCAAACTAGGCTAAGGAGAGTCAGCTGGTACCCAATTCAGCCACTGCACAGAGAGAGATCAGTTGGGAATAGAGCCAACGCAGAGGAGTAATGTCATAGTTTCAGAGCCTAGAGGTAGCTGTTGGTCCTGGCTGTAACCCTGGTTTGCTAGTTATGATGTCCAACAAACTCCCTTTTTGCCGTGACTGAGCTTAACTGGGTTTCTGACAGTGAAATCAAGCATCCTGACCAGTACAGGGAACTGGCCCTAATGGGGCGGCGGCGGGGGGGGGGGGTGTCAGGGAAGGGTTTCCCGTAGAAGTGGCAGTTAAACTGAGAAGTGAAAGATGAAAGATTAGCCAGGTAGAGAGGAGGGAGAGAGCATATTCTAGACAAAAAGAGCAGCGTGAGAGAAGGCTGTAAGGTAGGAAGAACAAAGCTGTAGGAATCTGTTTGCTTTCATTACCTTGCATGTGTTCTATTATAGCTATAAACACCTTTGATGAATAACCTTTATTACATAAGCTCCATGACCCTTATTAACAGTAATGTCCATTTATAAAGTACTCTTTAAAAAATTATTATTTTATTTATTTATTTTGGTTGTGTTGGGTCTTAGCTGCGGCAGGCAGTCTCCTTAGTTGCGGCTCAACGGCTTCTTAAGTTGCGGCATGTGTGCTCCTTAGCTGCAACTCACCGTCTCCTTTGTGGCATGCGTGTGGGATCTAGTTCCCTGACCAGGGATCGAGCCTGCGTCCCCTGCATTGGAAGGTGGATTCTTAACCACTGCACCACCAGGGAAGTCCCTATAAAGTACTTTATTGTTTGAAAATGTCTCATCATTTGATATGTCATGATTTATTGAATATATTTGGTTCCACTCTTACGAACCCCTGACTGGGCCTACTATTCAGACTGATTTTCTGCTTTGCACCCAGACTTTTGGACCTAAAAGACTGACTCAGAAGCCTAGAAGGATTGGGGACGGCTTTGGGAGTGGGGGGGAGGTGGTCTGGGGCCAAGGGCCAGTTTTGCCTGACGATGCAGCTGCCATGAGAGCTGAGCAGTGCGGCTCTGGCTCAGAGCAGCCATTCATCAGCTCGAAAAGAGAGACGAATTTGTCAATCTTTGGCTTTGCCTTTGACCCCTAGAGAGCTGGAACTGAGGACTCTGGAAATTTGGCCGCCACCCAGGGCCAGCTCTCAGTTACAGAATCAGCGAGCCCGCCAGAGTGTGCCGGCAGATGCGAACAGGAATCTCTGCAACGTCAATTACCTTTCCTTCTCCCTCCACCTCTTCCAAACCCTGTTCCCATCACCAGATTATTTATCTGAGGGAAACAGGAGGGAAAACCGAGTTTGTTTTGTGTTACTTCTTTGCACTCCATCTTGGGCCAAAAATAGCGAGCAGGGGGCAGGATGTGAACATCCCTTGTGTTACTAAAATTTGTTGTTATTTATACTTGCATTATATGATTTAACTTTGACTCCCCAAGTTACAAACTCTTTGGAGGGAAGAATCGATAGTGCACATTTTTGTAGGACCCATAGCAGCTCACACAGTGCCTAGCCCTAAGTAGGATCTTTGATTCTTAAACCAATGACTTTTTCTGAACTCGTCACCATGCTAGAAAAGGCCCACAGCTGAGACCCAGGCTGGAGGATAGCCTGGTCCCCATTTGGGGGTCAAAAGAGTAGAGCAGGCAGGGGTCGCTGTGTCCTAATGGGTTGGACCCAGACGTTGGCAGGGAGACTCTGGGCCTCTGGGGACACTGAACCTGCAGGGGAGTCTGGCCCAGACCTGGCCAGGTGGCTCCTGCCGTCAGGGGCTGCTGAGTCTCAGGTAAGGGGACAGGTCAGGTCAGTCCCCGGCCTGGAGCCTCTGGGAGGGCAGGGAGCACTGGCCAGGTGACTCAGCCAGCAGGGGCTGCCGAGACCCAGATGGAGGAACGGAGCGGGGATTGGTCCCAGGCCTTGGCATGAACTATGGCCCATCAAGGGGCTCTGAATCCTGGGTGGCGTCAGTCATAGGCCTGGCATGGAGGCTAGAGTTTGGGTGGGAGCTCTGTGTTCCAAGTTGTTAGGGGGCATGCCAGGCTCTGGGCAGGGGAGGGCACTGAACCCTGGATTGGGGTGTCAGTCCCAAGCCATGGTATGGAGACTACAGGCCAGCAGCGGGGGATGGGGGGAGGTGGCTGAGTCTCGGGGGAGTCTCGGTGGCTGGCTTTCAGCCAGCAGGGCAAGCTGAGTCCTGGTTGGGATCAGACTCAGGCTTTGAGCTGGAGACTCGGGTTCCATGGCAGAGGAGGCTGAGTCTGGGGTGGTGTCCAACTCCAGGCCTTGGCGTGGAGGCTCCGCGCGGGCGGCGGACGCTGAGTCCCAGGTGCAGGCCGGTTATGGGGGGTGGGGTCGAGGGGGTGGGTCCCTCGCCCTGGCTTGGAGACTCCGGGCCGGCAGGGGGCGCTGAGCTCGCGGCGGCGCGGCAGCCGCCCGGCAGGTGGCGCTCTGGCCGCGGCCGAGGCCAGAGGGCGGGCGGCGGCGGTGGCGGCGCGGCGCTGCGGCCGGCTCGCGGGCCCGGGGAAGCGGCGGCGGCGGCTGCGGCGGCGACGGCGGGAGCGGAGGAGGCGGAGCGGCGGCGGCTGGCGGCGGGAGCGGCGGCGGCCCCGGGCGGGCTGGGGCGCCGCTGGCCGAGCGCACAGGCCGCGGCCCGCGGAGCCCGCCATGCCGGTGCGGGTCTGAGGCGCGGCGAGCCAGGGCCGAGGCGAGCGGCGGCCGCGCCGGCCTGTGGCCCCGCAGCGGCCCGGCACGGGCCCGATGAGCGGCGGCCTCGGCCTCCGGCGCAGCCCGGAAATGTCCGGCAAGATCGAGAAAGCAGGTGAGGCGCGCGGCCGGCGCGGGGCGGCCCGTGCCCGGGGCGGGCGGGCGGCCGGTCTCCCGGGGGCGCGGGCCCGTCGCCGCGCCGGGAGCAGAAGTGAAAGCGCTGCCGGGCCTGCCGGGGCGCGTCTCGGGCGGGCGGCGGGCCGGGCCGCGCGGCGCTCCCCGGGGCGCACGGCCGGCGGGGGCCGGGGTGCCAGCGCAGGGCCCCGCGGCCGGGCCGCTCGGTGCCCGCCGCTCGGCCCTCGGTGTTAACTTCGAGACAACGGCTGGGACCGGGGACGGGGCAGGGACCGCGGCCGCGTGCCCGAGTGGCCCGGCGGCGGGCGGTCGTCTTTCAGGCAGTGAACAGAGCAGAGCCATAAAATGTGTCATTTCTGATGAGCCTCGAGTTTATATTTAACCAGAAGTATCCACTTCGGAGGCTTCAAAGGAAGTGGGCAGGATGTGTCTGGGCGTTTTCAGGGCGCGGGGGAGCTCTCCTCTGGTATCAAGCTGAGCCCTGGAAGCGGGGCTTGTGGGGAGCCGGTTGGGTTGGGGGGGGTTAGAAGTCTTGATGCCAACCCCATCCCTTTGTGTGCTCCTTAGAAATCTCGGAGCCTCGCCTTCCGGTTAGCTGGGTTTTGCTCAGACGGGCAATAAGAGTCTCCAAAGATTCTACTCGGGCCGTGCATCTGAGGCCCAGAGCTTAATTAGCGACACCTTGCAGGGCGCATCCTTGAGTCGCAGGTGAGGGAGGCGGGCAGTCCTGGGCTCCCTAGCGGGGACATCACTGGTTGTCATAACTTGGTACCTTGTCAGCCAAGCTTGGCAGCCAAGCTATGGAAGGTGGGAGCTTAGGGGGATGGATAGGGGGAAGGTTACACTGATTTTGGAAGTTGCTGGTTTCCCAGGTTGAACCAGGACACTTTTCGGAGAGGCGCCTCGGAAGTGGACCGAGCCGGCCGTGTAACTTGCAGGCTGTGGCTTGAGCACAGGAAGGAGATTTTCGTCGCCTTCTTTGAGGGTTTTCTGTGTATCCGGCTCTGTGCTGAGCACCTTAAACGTATGTCTTATTAAATCTAAGTAGATTCTCTGTGACAGAGAACGTGGTCCCGGTTTTGACAGGGTTGGGGGCTCAATGGCTTCTCGTAGGCCACCCAGCCAGAGGACAGCGGGCCGGGCCCTGATGCCCTGCTCTCTGAGTGGAAGCCTGGGTGCCCTTCTTGGGGTCAGGGCCCTTGGCTTCAGGTGCTGCTCCTTGGGTATTTCTGTCACTGTTCTTCAGGCCCAGGGTCGTGTCCAGTGACCAGGAGTTTCCTCCCAGCACACATGCCGTTCCAGAAATACCTCTGGTTAACATGTGCAGTGTTTCTCAGGATGCGTCATGTCTCTGAATGGTATTGATGGGAAACTTGGCTGGTTTATTTTCAAAATAGCATTAACAGGGTTTTGTCTAATTATAAGGATAATTGAAAAATTTGTAAATCACGAAAAGCCAAAAGAGCACAGTGAAAAGCACCTGCCACCCCACGGGCTGCTTTCCACAGCTCAGCCCTCTCAGATGAGCTGTCACGTGCATCCTCTACTCCCTGGAGAAAGGAGGCCTGAGGCCAGTTCTTTTTGACCCAGGTTATCCCTGGGCACCTCCATCTGCCGGGGGCTGTAGTAGATGCAGAAGCCAGGGGTGCCTGCCTTCGGAGAAGCTTGTCTGTGGGTGGGAGAGCTGGCCCCAGCATCACCCCTGGGCTGCCAGGCCTCGGGAACTGTGGAGCAGCAGGAGGCGGGGCCCGTGGGCACAGGTGAGGGGTGGCCTGTCCGCTGAGGGCATGGGGAAGGCTCTGGAGGAGGGCGAGTGTGCCCCACTTGGAGGTGGGGGAAGAGACCAAGCAGGGGTTGTGGAAATCTCAGGAGGAAGATGCATGTGGGGGGAGGCGGCTGAGCTGAAAGTGCTGAGGTTGGCAAGACCAGAGACGGCACCTCACGTGGAGCTAGCGGGAGGTCTGTCCTTCTAGTGTAAGGTCTTCTGCTGTGATTCACACACAACTGTCAAGGAAGCCTGGGACACTCTGGAATGAGGGGTACACTTTCTCAGTGGTTTCTGCTGGTCATTGTGGGTGGCTTTCAACTTTGCGTTTTGATGAGATTCCCCATTCGGTTTCTGTTGGAGTTTTCTAAATGGACCTACTGTGAAGTCACCCGCAAAGTGTTTCTTAAAGGAAGGGTCCTTAGGTGAAGTGGCGCCTCCTGTTAGCAGGTGAACAGTCTTTGGGAAGTTATAGAGCCTGACACCCAGCCAGTGCTCATTGTTGTTAGGTTTCGCTATTTTCTGTTGACTTGAGCAGAAGAGTTGCTTACATGTGTTCACAATCTCTTCTCTCTGATAATAGGACCAGTGCTTTCACTTCTCAGGGCTTAAGGGAGCCCAGGTTTTTTGAGTGTAAAAGAAAACTTTGTGCATCCCTTACAGCCCTAGACTCTTGCCCATCCTTCCCACCTGATACCTCTCGTGAGCCGCAGCCTCTTCAACCTCTGGGGGAGATCTTTTTGAATCTGTCGTGCTGCTTTTCAACCTGTTTACTGAGCAGTGCCTGCCTGGGATGGGGGTGTCATACATACTGCCCTCCTAGGAGGGCCTACCCTTCTGTAGGAACCAGATTGGCTGTCTTCAGTTATCTGCTCTGGGCCCAGTGGGGGATGAAGACAGTCTGGGTTCCAGAGGGTGGCACAGGATCAGTTTGCTAGCTGGTTGGGCCAGTCCAGTTAGGCTTGGTGGAGAAGGGTTGAATTTGGAAGGCCAGGAAGAATGCTGGAGTGGAGGGGGAGGCTCCTTGGTGTCTTCCAGAGATAATGGGGAGTTGGGGAGTGAGGGAGCCAGACAGATTAGGGAGCTCCCAGGGTGAGCTTTCGGGCAGGCCTGGCAAGGAGAAGAGGTGCTTCCCTGGGAACGAAGAGGGACTTGCTCTGGAGGACCCACACTGGCGGGAGATGTGTGCAGAGCTGAGGCCACTTTGCGGGACCAGTGAACCTGGTTCTGGCGTGTACGCAGTTATGGTGGGTCTCAGTGTGCTCATGCTTACTCCCAGTAAATGCACTAAGTGGAGGGAATTGAAGCCTTAATGCTTCTGGAGCTGAAACACCTCTCTTGCCTGGTGAACAGAGGTGACAGACTGGTGGCTGTGGGCTGGGTTCAGGCAATAGATGTGTTGTGTGTGATCCATACATGTTCTTGGAGAAAAAAGAAAGAATTGATGGTCAGTATTTAACAATCAGGAAATGACTCACAAAGCTCAGGTTTCTGGTTCTTTTGGAAAATGAGCAGCTCTAGTAACCCTGGGCGCTGGTTCCTACGAGGCCACTGTGGCGGGGACCTCCCACTCCTGCTGCCAGCCCCAGCGCTGATTCCTGCTTCCCACTTGGACTGTTGACGTTTGAGTTTGCATCCCTCTCCTTGCAGAAATCACTCGTGTTTGTGTTTGTTTGCTTTTTATCTGGACTTTGAAGTCTTTGCCCCATTCCTTCATGGATTCATTCTTTGATCCCCTTGCTTGGCACTGATCGAGCTCCCGCTGTCCGGTGCTGTGCAAGGCTCTGGGAGTCAGCGGTGAACTCGGCGGGCATCATGCCGCCACACAGGCCCTTACCTCTGGCAGTGTGGGGAGAGCTGGGGGGGTTACAAGGGATCCCATCAGACTCACGGTGGGAGCTGCCTCTGTGAGGGGCTGAGATTTTCAGGTGAGCCGTTAGCTGGGTGCAGCAGGGGGCGTAGGGAAGAAGGTGGCCTCAGTTTCACCGGTTGTACTCATTAGAGAGTCTCAAGTGCTCATTCCTCAGTTCATTTATCAAACAGTTTTTCCAGAACCTCCCAAAGGCCCAGAGTTTCTAGTGTTTGGGATACAAGAAAGATTTGTGCTTCCTGGGCCATACCATCCAACTGGGGCAGACAATAAAAGTAGATGTCATGAAGATATAAATTACGCAGGTTTTTCTATTTGTTTGTTTGGGGGGGGTTCTTTCCCTGCTGTGTATTTCCAGCAGACCACTGGGAGTCTGTCTAGGAGTTTCATCAATTACCGAACCCTCTGGCCACTCTCTAGGCCCCCTGTGGTCTCAGGCTACTCCGAGGGGCTGCTGAAGTGGCAGCAGGCTCAGCCAGTGCCCTGCCCAAGGACTGAATAAATACAGTGTCTCAGGCTCAGGTGCTGTGTATTTCAAATGTGTGAAGATGCTTTCATTATAAATTAAAATGAAAAATTCACACTGTCTGCTGTCATAGTAACTTTTTGTCATTATGTATTTTCTCAGAACAGATAAAAAGTACAAGTGCAGTCTGTCACACGAGGCTGCACATTTTTGGCCTAAGAAAGAGTCCTCGTAGATCAGCGGTTACTGTATTTTGATCAATTTTAAACTCCTCTCAAATTTTACACTTCCTTTTTTCCCCCCACAATTATCAATCTTTGTGCTCAAAATGTATCCAATCAATAAATACAACATTCTTATGGCACCTGCTAGTCATTCATTCCCTCACTCCTGTGGCACTTACTGCGACCCTCCACCCTCCTCGTTGGCAAACACTGTGCCGCCCTGCGGTGGCCCGGAGCCAGCAGGAGCCTGGCCCTCCTGGGCTCTCGGTCCACGGTAACATCAAGACGGTCTTGAATATTTGTGCAGTTTCTATAGTTTCCGCCTGGAGTGCATTGACAGATGACGTCATTTCAGTTGATCCCTAAAACAAGTCCTGAGGACTAGAGCAGGGCCAGTTATCCCCGTTTTACCCTGAGGGCAGTTCAGGCCCGGGGAAGGTTGGATTTGCCCAGGGTCACACCGCTCTGGTGCGGTGCAAGGCAGCGGGGCACCCACCTCTGCTCTGACTCCGCCAGCCCTTTTCCAGAGCACTGCTTAGAGCTTCCCATGTTGCTGGAGACACAGTAACTTTATCTTAATTACTGTTCATGTTTCTAAGTTTCTTTTCTGGTGTTGCAAAAAAAAAGAAATCTCTGTTAAATTAGGGTAGGCCAA